CACAGTGACTTTTTGTTAATATTTTCTTTTTTTTCTTCTTTTTTTTAATTGTGAAAATACCATACAGAGGAGTTACAATTACATGGGCAAGATAATGAGTACATTTCTTATCAAGCATTGTTGCCTCCTCCTTTGTTTCCCCTTCCCATGCCTTCCCATCTCCCCCCTCCCCTCCACACCTCTCCCCTCACACCAAAGTTGTAAAGTTCGTTTTTCCACATAACGACTTGTACATCTCATTGTTGCAATGGGTTCACCTGTATCCCTATTTAAACGATTTGCTTTTGCCCTTCCCCTCCACAAATTATACCAACATCAAATACAGTGAGAGCCAGTCCTGGGCCTTGAACTCAGGGCCTAGGCACTGTCCTTGAGCTTCTTTTGCTCAAGGCTAGCACTCTACTGCTTGAGCCACAGTGCCACTTCTGGCTTTTTCTGTTTATGTGGCACTGAGGAATAGAATTCAGGGCTTCATGCATACTAGGCAAGCACTCTACCACTAAGCCACATTCCCAGCCCTGGCATAGTAACTAATTTTTCATTTGCAGAATTATCAAATCATTGGTTAAAACCATACATTTCTCATTTTTAAGCTCTCTTGAGGAAATGAACTAATCTAAAGGATGATTCTTTGTACATATATATATATACATATATATATATATATGATCCCCTTGTTCAATAAAAATGTGAAGGATTAATGATAGAGGTTGATGTTTAATGTCTTATTTCTAATTATGTTGATATGCCAATGTCAGACTATCTTTCTGTAGAGGAACCTAAGCTTCAATAACAAACAAAAGAGCATGTTCTTTATAGTCTGTTTTTGTTGACACCAGATTTTTGTTCTACTCAAAAACAAGGGCTTTTTTTTTCTTTTTTGTTTAGTAGTGACTTGGACTAAAAAAGAAATAAGAAAATAGCAATGTATCGTTTAATCTAGGAGACAATGGTAACATTTTTTAAAAATATATTGTGAAACACATAGAAAAGTGGGACAGTCGGAAGAATGGTATATTTTTAATTATTTATGGCTTCTTAAAAAATGTATGACTTGAAAGTTGATCAGTGTTCATATCTGGGATAAACAGAAAGTCAAAAAATGTGTACATGTAAATATATTTACCAAGTCAGAAAAAGTTATCTTTTGTATATGTATAGAATATATATATACATATATGTATATATGCATATATATATACACACACACACACATATATATATACATATATATGTGTGTGTTTGTTTACTGCCTGCTGTAGAAAACCAGATATTTGATTGGTTGAGTTATGCACTGGTGGCTTATGCCTCTGATCATACCCACTCAGGAGGCTGAAATTTGAGGCTTGTGGTTCTGAGCTGGCTAGGGCAGATGTGTGAAGGACTCAGCATCAAATAATCAATCACAAAGAGTCGGAAGTAGAGTTGTGGCTCAAGTGATAGAGCACTAGCTTTGAGCAAAAAGCTAAGGGACAGCACCAAAGCCCCAAGTTCAAGCCCTAGTACACACACACACACACACACACACACACACACACGTCACCTGGTTTCTCTATGAGCTGGCTCTCCTAGGCAAGAAGATCAACAACTCTTGAGCAGATATTCCGATGCAACTGGAAACAGGCAAGGGGCTACTTCAGTAGTGAAGGTACCCTGTGGGTTCTAAAGGAAGGAGAGACCTTGGAGAATTCCATGCTCTCAAGTCACTGCCCACCTTCTACCTGTTGATGGACTCAAGTGTAGGAGATGTTCATATCAGCGTGATCCTAAATCCACCCACCCCTCCCCCAAGACACTTGATGTTAAATCCCAGAGGGCTGCTTCTCTGCCTTCCATGGCAGTCCCAGTTTTGGCCACAACCATTTCTTTCTACATTTTCTTTCTCCATTACAATGCAGAAATTTGCGATAGAGCATGGAACATAGTACTCTAAGCCAAACAAACTGCACTTGTAAAGACTGTTCAAATATCCTTCAGTTAAAAAGTCACTTGGCTTGTAATTTCACATACTTGTGATTTCACATTTACAAATTTGGGCTACAAACTTGTGAAATACCCAAAAGACCACAGGGTGGAGTGTTACAGACTAAGCTGTAACAGAGAACAGAGTTTAAGGATTCAGGTGGACCTGCTGCAACAATGAGAAGTACAAATTGTCATGTCAAAAACGAGCTTTACAATGTCGGTGGGGGGGGAAGGGGGAAAGGATTGGGTGGGGGGAGGGAGGCTGGGAAGAGAGGTGAAGGGTAAACAAAGGAGGAGGCTGCAATGCTTGGTAAGAAATGTATGCATTATCCTGCCCATGTAATTGTAACCCCTCTGTACATTATGTTCACAAATAAAATTTTAAAAAAAGAAAAAAAAAGAAATGCAGGGAAGAAGGGATCCCTAATTAGAAGCTGTAGGGTTGATGTTCTGCCTTGAAGATACTTTAGCGATAGCCAACACCTTTCTCTAGTACAAAACCATGGGTTGATATACTGTACTCGCTGTTCATATTCTGTAAATATTAATTATCCCAATTACTTATTTGTATTATTAAGGAGAGTTAAGAACCAGTAATATTTTGCTGCTAGTATACCTGGTATTAACAAAATTGCTGTAAACTAAGGTGATCAAATATTAAAATACATGATGAATTGGAATCTAAGCAGTCAACTAGAAAGGAGTCATTTCCTTCTTTTCTATTATGTGCATATATGTACATGAGATGCACACGTGCACACACATACACATACATGCACACACACAGAGCAGCCAAGGGGAAATGAAAAGAGGTAAGTAAGGAAAAGCAACTAAAGCAAAAGTGAGGCAGAATTGAAAATCAAAATAAACTTGCATCTGAAATGATGTGATTAGCAAAGTAGCCAAAGCATGCTTCTCAGACATCAAAGTAACAAGAGCAGGACCAATTTCCAAAAGTCCACATAGAATAAGGGAATCATTTCACTGTACCAACTGCAACAATATACACAAAATGAATCTTTCTAGTCATAACAAGAGTTACTTGAAACATATACAGAGCGAAGAAAAGAGTTTTGGTTTTGAATACTGAAAATTCAAGGAGAAAGAGGTTATTTCCTTTGAAGGCTAGAAAAATATATATATATATTACATACATGTATATATATACTGTGACTGTAAGTTTTAAAATTGTGGGAATTTTATTCGCTTTTATGTTGAGAACCTGAAATCATTTAACTTTCTTGCAAATTAAAAAAATATTATAAGGGTTGGAGCTATAGTTCAGGAGAAAGAGCACTTGCAACATGCACAAGGTCTAGGGCTCCACGCCCTGAACATCATAGCAAAAGGGAAAAGAAGCTGTAAATGTTCACATGACTGGGCATATATTTAATGAAGATAAAACAATGAGCAAAAAGAATATTTTGGTCATAGTAGTAGTGGGGAAGTTCTGAGACAATGCTCGATTTGAATGTTGGTGATCCTCCTATATCAGACTCCCAAATTCTGGGAGTGTGACCCACTACACCTATCATAAAATAAGAAAAAAAAATCCCACTGTGCTGGTACTGAGGCTTGAATTCAGGGCCTTGGTGCTGTCCCTTAGGACTTTTGCTCAAGGTTGGTGCTCTACCACTTGAGCCACAGTTCCAATTCCTCAGGAACCGAAACTTAGCAGGCATTTTTTTCTAAGAAAAGATTTCTTTAGTGAAGTTTCCAATGGTTTTAAAAACAGAGTAGGGTTTGTTCTATGTACCCAATAGACAGACAGATAAGATACAGATAAAGGTAGCTACAAATTTGTGTGTATCCTTATGGGTTTTTTTCATGCTTTTTATTGTTATTATAAAGGTGAAGTATAGAGTGTTACAGTTATATAAGTCAGATAAAGAGTACATTTATCCTTTCCCTCCCTCTCTCTGTTTTTTCCTCCCATCCCCACCTACATTTGAATAGTTCATTTTCAAATAGTGTCTAATGCTGCATTTGTTCACCCTTTGTCCCACAATTTCTGTTCCCTTCCCTACCCTACAAAAGACCAATAAACAAACAAGACAAAAAGAAAATAAAACAAAGACAGCAACAAAGAAAAAAACCTCTTGTGTTTGTTTTTGCTGAGAGAAGCATTGGCAAATGTTGCAGAATGTTAATAATTGGTGAATCTAGGGAGAGTATGCATTCTTTCAACTCCTCATTAGGTTTGAAACTGCTGAGGGACCATGAGTTACTGAAAAATAGATACGTGCAATTTCTCTATAGAAGTGTTTCATACAATAAATGAAGATGTCATGACAGACTGTTTCTACTTTGCAATCTCTAATATACTCATGGATCTAAGTTCTTAGCATCAATGTCCAGAAAAGGAAAGTAATCAGATACTGTATGCTTTTTCAAAAAAAAACCACCACAACCATGAAGTAATCATGCCACAAAATATGAAACATTAAACAGATTAAAATCGTAGGTCAGCCTTTTTCAAATATCAGTGGAAAGAAGACCATCTTAAAGTCTTGTGAAATCACACATTGTTGGACTCACTGTAAGCCATGCTTGTGACTCATTGGGGTAGAGAATGGCTCAGTGATTTTTATTTCTAATCTCTTGCACTGTTGAGATTATGTTTCAGGACCATTCTTTGAGGGCAAGTTCTTTAGATTAACCTAATAATTTATAGTAACAGTATGTTAAATATTACTATGGGGATGCAGTTAACAAACTAGAATTTGGAAAAGACTAGTGGAAAAAAATTAGAAAAATAACCTCCTTACTTCTTAAATTCATAAATTTCAATTGAAATAAACATGAGAAGACAACACAGGTTAAAAGAAACTCATAGATATACCAAAATTGAATGGTGTTTTTGGAAACATGTTTATGCTTTTCTTCTTGTTTCATCATTTTCCTGATTGGATGAATTATTGCTAACTTGGTGGTATTGTTAAGGAGTTCTTACTTTTTAGATACACATGTTAAAGCAGAAAAGAGTAAAAGAAAAAAGAAAAATATAAAAATAAAATTAAAGCAAATCTATAATCTTAATGCATTCACTGATTTTTATTCTCTACCAAGAATATTTCATCTTCATTTGTCTTATCTTTAACATTCTTTCTTCCTCTTCTCCTCCTTGTCCTCGTCCTCGTCTTCGTCCTCGTCCTCGTCCTCCTCCTCTTCTTCTTCTTCTTTGAAACTCAGCTCTTAGAAACCTGAGGTGACCATCACAGTTATTTGCATGGTTAAACTCTGTCTTTGCAGATCCCAGCATGTCTCTCCTGAATCCAGGACACAGGATTGATGGTTGTGGATTGATACAGGATTGTGGTTGATTTCCACATTGTTTTCACAATTTTAAATGTCAAAATACTAAAATATCAAAAAATAAAATAAAATACCAAATGCACTATATAAACTATATTTCTCTAAATTACAAATAAAAATAGTTTGGTTAAACTGTGAAAATAGACAAATAAAAATAGTTTGGTTAAACTGTGAAAATATCACCTACAAAGAGTATGCAATGAATGCATAGCTTGAAGAATAACAACAAAGTGAAAGCCTGTGAATTCTCCACTCAGCCAAGAAGTTGACCGTTGTTAGTACCCTGACTGATCTTTGAATGTTCCATCTGGAACACTCCCCCTTACCACCCCTTGGAAATGACTAGCCTGCTGAATTTTGTGCCAGTTATTCTTCTGCAGAGCTATATGGTTTTTTTTACTGCCCAACCCTGTAGCTTTATCTGTCTGGAGAATTGTAAAGGTAGAACTACATCATGTGCATTCTTCTGTACATTACTTATTGTTGTCTTTACACTGTCTTCAGGATGCCGCCATATCAATATATCCATCAGTAAATATAAACCATTCATTTTTGTGATGGATCATTTTCACTTGTAAGGATATTCCAAATTATCAAGTGTTGATGACTATGTTATCTCTTTTTTCCCAATTTTTTTATTTGATTATATTATTACCTCCATTTCAAAGTTGCAGTAGATGACTTGGCAAGGGGGAGTTAACTCTTTGAACTTTGTTCTTCCTGACTTGGGTACAGTGCCCCTAGTGTTTCCCATTAGTCAGTGCTGCCTCCCAGAAATAAACACCTATGTCCTACTAAGGAAGTATTCATATATTCTTATTTAATTGAATGTTTTTGTCAGAATTATTGCAGAATTTTGGCAGGTGCCTGTTCATCATTTATGAAGATGATACTATGATTTCTCTAATCAGTACCTCCAATTTAATAAGCATAGAACTGTGATTGGTTCATTGAATAAGCTCCCAATGCTAATAATGTTTTAATGATACATTTTATTTCTACTTTCTTTAGGAGTATAGCATCAGTATTTACAAGTTAAATTGGACTCTAGCCATTCCCAACTTTCATTTAAAAATTTTCACATTTTGGAATCAACATCTTATTCATATCCTAAAAATAATTTGGAATAGTACTCTGTGTACTCTCTCTGTGTGGTGTGTGCATGCATGCATGCTTGCGCATGCATGACAATACTGAAGCTTGAATTCAAGCCTCAGACACTGTCCCTTAGCTTTTTTACTCAAAGCTGACACTCTACCACTTGAGCTTCACCTCGATTTCTGGCTTTTTGCTGGTTACTTGGAGGTAAGAGTCTCACAGACTTTCCTGTTTTAGCTAGCTTCCTTGAACTATGATCTCCAAATCTCAGCCTCCTGAGTGGCTAGCAATTCAGGCATGAGCCACTGTTGCCTGACTGAAATGGCACATTTTTCTACGCAACAGGCTGTTGAAATAGGAAATAGCATGAGTGTTGTCATCCTTTAAAGGTTTAGTATAGCTTTGTAGAAATAAATAGGCCTGAAACTTTTATTTATTTCTCTACTTCCTCTAAGATCAATTTTTAGATGTAACTATGTCTTTTGATGTCAAGTTGAGTATTTTCTTTCTACATAAAATTATTCTTTTCTCTAGATTTTCAAATAAATTTTCACATAGCTAAATCAAGTTTTCTCATTAGTTTTTCATTTCCTATTTGTTTTCTCCCCTTATTATCATTTCTTCCATGAATTTGCTTTATTTTGTCCTTTTATGATTAACCTAAATAATCTCTTACCTATTTATTATTTATCTATGGAATTTTTTTTTTTTTTTGCTGGTCATGGGGCTTGAACTCTGGGTCTAGGTGCTGTCCCTCAGCTCTTTAGCTCAAGGCTAGCACTCTACCACTTGAGCCACAGTGCTACTTCTGGCTTTTTCTGCTTAGGTGATGCTGAGGAATTGAACCCAGGGCCTCATGCATGCAAGGCAAGCACTCTACCACTCTACCATATATATAGTTTATATATATAATTTATATATATATATATATTATTGCAAAAATACTGTACAGAGGGGTTATAGTTACATGAGAAAAGTAATGAGTACATTTCCTATTGAGCATTTTTACATCCTCCTTTATATTTCCCCTACCATCCTTTTCCTTACCACCTCCTCAATTCCTCCCTCCCCTCTTCCACTCCCCACAACGTGCCCCTCCCAAAGTTGTAAAATTTGTTTTTAACATACTGTCTTGTACATCTGATTGTTACAATGGGTCATTCTATGGAACTTTTGAAATATAATATTGAAGATATATTTCCAGCACAGCACCAGTAGTTCATCCCTGCAATCCTAGCTATTCAAGAGGCTGAGATCTGAGGATCACAATTCAAAGTCAGCCCAAGCAGAAATGTCCATGAGACTCTTACCTTCAATTAGCCACTAATAGAACCACTAAAAGAACCAGAAATGGAGCTATAGCTCAAGTTGTGGAATACCAGCCTTGACTGAAAAGGCTAAAGGAGAGCTGCCAAGCCCTGGGTTCAAGCCTCAGTGCCAGAAAACACACACACACACACACACACACACACAAATTAAAGCTATCAAATGTTCCTCTAAATGCTGTTTTTGCTCTATCCTATATATCTGGATATTTGGATATTATTGTTCTTTCACAGAAATTACTTGATTTGTAACAGGATTTACCATTTGTTTACAAATGAGATAGACTATTTGCAATTTCCTATTTTCATTTAGTAAAATATTTTAGTAATTTTTTCCAATTAGTATATAAATTTTTAAAATCCATATTGTATGTTTTCTATTAATATACCTAATTTCACTTGTTCATTGTGCCCTCACTTAAATGTGTAGAAATTATATCCAGCCTTTAATGGTATATTCACTTGTTCATTGTGCCCTCACTTAAATGTGTAGAAACTATATCCAGCCTTTGATGGTATAAACAATATTTAAATACATATTCATTTATGAATGCTTAGGTAATTATATCTGGAGGAGAAATTCAAAAAAGGGAACTGTGGGTTTTCATGAGTTTATATATCACCAATGTATAAGAGTCAGACATGCCATTTGAAAGACATTATCCAGCATGTATACAAAAGGCTACACAAACATTGAATTGACTAATAGGAAGAGATAAATGCTAGATGACCCTCATCTGTTTATGAAAACACATCTCTATTTTTATTTCACCTTTTTCCCTGATGAATTCAACCAGTTACCATTACTATAGAATGATTTATTCATGATTTCCTAAGCATGATAATTAATTTTTAGGGTTTAGAAATATTTTATAGAGTTTCCAATAGAATGATAAATAGCCATTTAAAATGACAGACAATATTATCAACAGGAATTTATGGGCAAAAAGAGAGTTGTTTGAAAAATGATACATTCCAAATTTTCATGACTTATTCACATTACTGTGTTTTTAAATGTTTTATGGGTCCTTTGTGAAGTACTGAAGGTTACTGAATGTATGACTTATTTTTGCAAATCAAATGTTTCTTTAAAATTCAACAAATTTTCAATGAGGTTTAATTAGGCAGAGAAGTGGCTCAGAACTCATTTTAAAACATGCATGATAATTAGGCAACATCAAAGACTATTGTTACATTCTAAATTGTAAACAACTGACTGTTAATGATTTAACAAATTCCAAACATTATCAGATAGGACAGAGAACATTTATTTTTTTCCAAAGGCAAGTGAATATTAGGGTAATGATTTACTCCATCTTTCTTCTTAAAAAAAATAAAATAAAAAAGCTTCACCGAACACTGCATCTATCTTTGTGAGGGTCAAAGTTTCTTCAGTTTTGGCATCAGAAGAGACCTCAAGCTCCTCCCACCTCCCAGCAAATGTGGACACCAACTTCGCTAATGTCATATTTGATGACAAACAGATTCAACTAGCTTTCCTGGCTTCCAAGCCTGATCACTTTTTAACTACATTGTGTTAAATCTGTGTTAATACATGTAAAAGCACTTGCAACACCGCCTAGTGAGGGTTTTTTTTTTTAATGAATTAACCTTTTTTTCAATTAAAAAAATTTACTGTTCAGTAGTTGTACAAAGAGGTTGCAATTTGGTAAGTTGGGTTATAAGTGTAGTACATCTTGATCACAATGTTACTACTTCTATTGTTTCTATTGTTCTTCCCTCATTCCTCTGCCTATCCCTCAAATTATGTCATTCAGCTTTTATATAATGTGCATTGAATTTGCTCACCCTTCCTCCCTCCATTCCTTTGCTTCCCCCTCAAAACTTGTTTTCACTTCTTGGTATTCTGTTTTTGGTGAGGTTTTTTTGTTTTGTTTTGTTTTTGTCAGTTGTAGGGCTTGAGCTCTGGCCTTGGGCAATGTTCCTCAGCTCTTCAGCTCAAGGCCAGTGCTCTTCCACCTGAGCCACAGCACCACTTCAGGGTTTTTCTGGGTATGTGGTACAGAGGAATCAAAACTGAGGCTTCATACATTCTAGGCAAGCACTTTACCACTAGGCCACATTCACAGCCCTTGGTATTCATGTTGAAGAACAGTTCATTAGTTCCTCAGAGGAGTTACATCTTTGGATTCCTCCCCTAGGTATACTGTCCTATGGTCTGTCTATGTGTATATGCATAGAGCTTAGCTCTATGAGTGCTAGAGGCTCATGCCTATAATCTTAGCTACTAAGGAGTCTGAGATCTGAGGACTGAAGTTCAGAGCTATCCTAGGCAGACAAATCCAATCTATCTCCTATTAGCAAGACACCAGAATTGGAATTGTGGTTCAAATGATAGAACTCCAGCTTTGAGTGAAAAAAAAAAACAAGAAAGAGTACAAGACTCTTGAGTTCAAACTCCAGGATTAGTACCCTCCCTCCACTCCCCCACCCCCACACACATA